TAGGACTTTTTAGACTGAAGGACTTATGGGGCTGTAGGACTCTTTAGACCGAAGGCCTTATGGGGCTGTAGGACTCTTTAGACTGAAGGACTTATAGGGCTGTAGGATTGTAGAATTGTAGGATTTATTGATCATTAAGACTATGTGCTTTACAGATCCCACATCAAAATATCTCGATGAATCCTATCAATCTTACCCCTTCTGGAGGTAGGAAAGGCTATGAAGATTAGTCATTGTTATGATAAGTAAGCATTTTTTTTTTTTTTTTTTTTTTTTTAACATTCAATCAGGGGGATAGCGAGTGGCCTAACAAGCCATGGTGCGTTTTAATAGTTTCCTTATGCACAGGAATTGATAAATGTAAATTCACTTTTTTTCAGATCTGTCATAGCTACCTATATTGTACACACGACAATTGTCATTAAATAAGTCACCATCGTCTGAGCCTGTTTCTTCTCTGGGAATAAGATTCTCAGGAAAATAATATTAATATCAGTATTATCATCATCATCACCATCACTATCCTTTTCTTATTTTCTCACCATTACTATCATATTATCATAATCCTAATTATCATCATTACTATCATTATTATTATCATCGTCATCATTAATATTATTATTGACAATATTGCCATCTTTATCATTATCATTGTTAATGTTGACATCACGATTATCAGTATTAGCAATGGTAATAGGAATTATTATTATTGCAATTACCACCATTATAATTGGTATTATAGTTATTCCTCACATTATCAGTTATTACGACTAAATTTATTACAACTATTAGTATTATTAATACTACAATCATTGTTATCAGCCTTCGCATTCTTTACAACAAAGGTACATATAACTAGGTATTTCCACTTGTATTTATTCTGTTGAACCCAAAAAAGAAAAAGACTTTTTCCCAAGAATATTTTGATGGTTGTTAATGAGTTGGAACTCTTCATTATTAAAATAAAACAAGAGAATTTTGGCTTCTGGCAATTATAATGATATTAAGTATATTACATTTATTTGTATATATATACAAATAAATATGTATATAGCTATTGCTGTGTGACATTTTATCATCTTCAGTGCATTTCATTTTGAAATGGTATATTAGAAAAAAAAACAATAATCAAATAAAACAAGAGTGAGATAAATTAAACAAATATTTAATATTTACAAGGCAAAGAGGTGGGGCTTAACGCATAAGTTGCCAATCAAGATGGAGTGGGGCTACATAAGGTAAAGTACCTTGGTTGCAACCATTAGCAAAACCGCTTGTATAACTACGAAGCTTCGAAGTATTCCTAACCTAAATCCCATAAAGGGTTCGAGGCCGATATTCGAAACAGTCTGACAAGTTTTTACCTGACTTGACAGTAGTGATACTGCACAGGAGTTCCTTACTTGCAGTAGAAGTGGACACCGTTCGTCGAAAGAGAGAGAAAACAAAATTTAGTTGATTTGAAAATGTAATAAGAGCAAGAAAGTGATGCAGACGAGTTCTTTATCGCGCATAATTATGGGCGTCTTCTGTACGCGCCGTAAAAGTTAATCTCGTTTACCGTTTAATCCAGTTCTCTGCTGCGGATGCGCAATGGCAGCGTCCAGGATCAACTCTTAATGCAGCTCTGGACCAGCATTAACTTTTATGCTCAAAATCTAATCCTGCACATGCGCAGAACTAGTTAATCCCACCAACCATGCCTGATACATAATAACGTCATCACCTTCATAGAAAACATGGAGTTGAGTTGACATTAATGTTTATTATAAGCAATAACAAAAAATCTAACATTTTATGGTAAACCTATATCAGAATTTATCAATATATATTATTATAAGGTTTGGGATATTCAAACTGCAGATATAATTATACTCTCAACAGTTTAAAGAATAACGAAAAGAAAATCCCACAGAGAATTCCAGAGTTTACAGACATAGACAAGGCAGTGATATATCCAGGTTGGAAAAAAAACATTCCCAAATCTGGAATAAAAAAGAATGTTTTTAATAATATTAGGTTTCAGATTCAAAGTACAAACTTCTTGAATCTTTAAACCGCAATGAATTCAAAGCCCCGAGAAATTTGTAATATTCCTCGCTTGCAACATCCTGAACAAGACTACCCTACCGAGCCTTGCGATCGCCCACCGAAAGAGCTCTGAGAAAACTCCCGCGAATATAAACTGATATTACGAGAATTTTCTTTTGTGTGACACCTTCGCTTCAGTTGCCTATGAAATTCAAAGGCCCCATTTATATATTTTACTTGTATTGACACAGATATACTTCAAGATATAATACTACCGTATATGTGTGCATATTTACTCTCGTTATCACATTAGTGCGTGATATAAAATATATAGAGGGTGACTGCCAACTGCCACTGCACAAATACCGGGCCTTCTATGTAAAAGAGCAGATTTACTGATAATTGCATTTACTCGTGCGTCTGGCAGTGTCTTACATCTTTGGTGCAAGTACTGGGGATTTAGATTAAGCTTTAAATATTTAACTTTTATGACGCGTACAGAAGACGCCCATATGACAAACGAAGTTCCAAGCTAAAATTAAGTGTGATGCAATTTAATCAGATATACTTTTTTAGGCTCAAGTCGGCGACCATCTTGTTGTTTACAAAGAAGCGGCGAAACGAATTCCAAACCTTTCACTCTTAACCACGCAGGTAATGCATGATATCGACTCTTCATTAATTAACCACTTGAACGGGCTTCCAACGCCACGAAAATTCACTTGTATATGAACAAATATAGTGCAAAACCTGTAACAAAAAGGTGTCATTAAGAAAAGTAAAAAGTACTCACGGCAAAAACGTTAATAGTAAATCAGCTCTATATTTTCTAAAACAGAATAGCAAAAATATGATCTTTTTCTTGCCTACTCAAGAAGAACGTTTTGATGTTCGTTTGC